ATGTCGTGCTCCTCATCAAGCTCCGGATCACATGCATCTGTTGCAGGAGAAGGACGAATTGATGCAAAGTCTGCACTGAATTGTAGCATCGGAAAACATGTGCCAGGTTTGTCCCTCGTGGTTTTGCCTCTCATGATACATTTGCGAACTACACCTTCTGATTCCATCGCATCCCACATGTCACTTTTGGTTAGGTTGGGATGAACATCTGCTTGCAAGGGTAGCTTTTTGAATTCATAGAAAGAAATACCCTCCAGTTCCTTGTCTAGCATGTGCTCGACCAGAGCCTCTCGAAGGCAAGTCCACGCAGTCTTCTTGTTCTCTCTTTCGGCATCACTATCTGCATCCGCATTCAGCAAGTTAGCGAGTCCCTCCTCCATTTGTAAGTTCCGCTGACGCACCGGCAGTCCGCAGGCGCTTCTCATTGTATCCTCCGTTAAATAGTTGTCGCCTCCGTTACAATAGTCTTCAATGATCTGGTAGCAATCCTCTTTGTTATGATCGCATTCGAACGCCCACTGTAACCTCAAACCAGCTACGGATGCCTGTGAAGTCGTCAGAAATTTGTTCAAGCTGGGGTCAGCTTCAAAGATACCGTCAAGTTCGTGATCCGGATATTTGGCGAGGAACTTCTTGTGGATGAAGCGGGCTTTTGCTTTCCATACAAGAGAACGTCTGAACATAGAGTTGAAAGTACTGTTCTTCACTCCCAAGAACTGCATGATCCTATTCACTTCCAATCGAGTCCAACCCACCGTGTGAAACATGCGTGTAGAGTAGCCGTAAGGCTTCCGGCCCATAACGCCGTCGGCCGAGATGGTTTTCTTGTATAGATCCACATGGAACTTCTTGGAGGTCTCAGGAGCCTCCTGTCCTGTCAGAATAAAACATTTCGCAAAGGACTCAACCTGCTTGCGCAACTCCTCGTCCATATGCCAAATATTCGGATCGAAGAAAGCATGATTGTGCCCGTACATCTCTGACAGATGCAAGGAATACCTTCGCATAGAGAGTGCATTACTTCCGAGGAACGATACCCTAACATTCAAAAAAATTACTACATATTAACATATACCCCTGCACCATTATGTAAATAAAACACATGATTCACAGCCTAGATACAAGCTCTGACCAACTCCTCCTGGAGAGATACCGATGAAACATCGGTCAACATTATAACCTCTTTTCGCAATTGCAATTGCTGACTGGAAGCAACGGAACACGTCGATGTTGCACCAGAAGGTGCGCTCATAGAATAGCTGTAGTCTTTGCTTGTTTGCTTCCATCACAGGGTCGAGCAATGGATGTGGTATGCGGACGTAGCAATTGTTCTCAGGTCCCTTTTTGACTGTCTTTACAGGAAGGGAAGAGCCTGGATCGTCGTACTGGAAGCATATGTCATTGTAACAGACACATGAGGACCGCATATCCTCTGTCTCGCACCACTCTACCAGTAAGGAAATCATTCTTGTTTGCATGAGCTCGTATCTGATTGTACAGGATAGTTTCCATGCTCTTTCTGCCATTGTTGTTGTCCACAATTCAGGTAGCTTTCCTTGTTTCCCTGCTCTAGGTCGGTCATCAGGCTCATAGCCATCTTCGTCCTCATCCAGTCGGCCAGGATAAGCAGGGGTTCGATTTTTGCTGTTCGTGGCTTCCCGTAAAGACACCAAGTACTCTTCCTCAGTAGTAAAGGACTGCAAGTCTGCTACAACAGCCTTTGCGATTGCATCTGCTTTCCTGGACGTCTCGGGCTTCATGCGTCTGAAAACGCCCTCCAAATACACAAAGAACTGATGTACGCGCTGCAGAACCGACTCAGGCGGAATGCCGTTGAACGGCAAGAAGCAGCCGTCATCGTCGTAGATGTACATGAAGCCCTTGTGAACTCTCATGTGTCTTTGCCCCTCAATCATCCAAGTCAGAGCAGCCGAGTCAGCCAGCATGGGCTTGTCCCCGGCCATGCCTTCCGTCATATGTACTGCGACTAGAATAAGGCGAGCAATTCCTTCTGACAAGAACGGATATAGGGACTTAATCTCCGAAAGCAATCGCTTGGTGTTATGGAGAATAGTATTGGGCTTCAGGCAAACATCAGGGCGATATACGTCCAGAGTAGACTCCATGATAGTATCACAACGCTGCATCATCTTGCGAAAGTCCAAAGCATGACTCTTGGCACCTGGGAAATTACGTCGCTTCATGGCAGGCTCAGGCACATCCTGTTCGTCATTCTCCAGCATGATCTCTAGTTGCGCCTGAACGTCATCTTGTACATCTTCCTGTGAAGCTTGTGATGTTTTGATGACTTGAAAGGGTTGGGTGTCAGCAAGTCTTGGATCTGCTGGCAGTTGTGAAACCTTGGCTGCCTGTACAGAATCTCGTCTGCTTTGCATCAGAGCGCTGATCGTATCTTGCATGTCTGGCACATCGTCCACGAAGCCATCTGGCAGATACCGTGGATGGACACAGACCACCTTCAATCCAGATACTTGCACACCGTAGTACTTCTCCAGTATCCACTTGTAGATGTTTAATTGCAATCTATAATGTTCTCCTTGACAGTCACCTGTGTGTTGCAGAGGAGGCTTCATATACTTGCCAAAGCTCTGATACTTGTCTTGGAGTTTCTCACTTCGCTTCCAGTCGACTAAGTAAAGCATGTTACTAACAGGATCGCGAAGCACGAGATCTATGGAGCCTGCCAGATCCTCTTCTGTTGCATATATGCACCACTCCGTACGATATGTTTCCAGAATGCCAAAACTCTCTATGACGTTTGTGGCGGCGTCAAACTCGCCTCGCATCCTTCCGGCCTCAATCGGATGACCGTTGTAGTGGTGTTCCAGCATAGCATGCATCCAAGTTCCAGAATTTGCAGCCTCTTGTTTTGTTTTCTCCCATAAACACAAAACCTCATCCTCCGTCAGCATGATCATGTCGATAATGCAGTGTAAGTCAGTACAATCTTGCTTCGATTCACGCAGTACTCTGCAAATCTCCTCCTGGCTGGGGTTCTCTTCCCTCATTAGAGCGACAAGGTCAGACTGCAGACGGAAATCCAAGCCCATGAGCATATTAGATATTTGTCGAAAATTGACATCCGGAGCCATATAAGCGGTCCTGGGCCAGTTGCTGCCGTTCTTCATACGCTGAAATGCCTCCTTTGACTGAAACGATTCAGCGTGTTGGTGGATCAAGCTGGTCACCTTAGTCTCTGCATGTAGAGCTAGTAATCACGAAGTATGTCAAGAAGTCAAGTTTATCAGCAGTTTAGTAGTTAATATATGCATACGGGGCACACTACATCCGACTGATGCCCCATTCCAGAAATAGTTGTGACCGTCTGCTTCGAATCGCAGATGTGAGTCGCGCTCATGCGCGTTGATCCCGGCTAGATGAGTACATGAAGTTAAAGTTCCTGTACTCGCCGTTGCATGATCATCGGGCACGATAAATTTATCAAGCCTCATTCCGGTAGATGAGAGCGCCTCCTCTTCTTCGTCCGGCATTTCTCCTGAAGGATCCAGTTGACTTCACCAAAAAACATATAG